TCAACTTCAGTGACTGCAAAATTGACCCTGCTCCCTTCCAGCTGGTGGAACGGACCTCTTTGCACAAGGTAGGGCCAGAGGGCCAGCGCTGCCTCTGCTCTCAAGAGCAAAGAGTAGGGATCTAGATCCTCCCACAAGTTTAGATTCAAGCCAGTGGGGAGAAAAGAGACAGCAGAGAGCTCTGTGCTAAGATGTTTTTCAAACACATTGCTTCAAACCATGGGAGGTTAGGAGCCAGGGCCCCTTAGCCTCTTCCTGCCTATGGTGGAGCCAGGCATCATTTTTCCTCTGCTCAGCCTTACCCCCAGGGAACTCTGAACCAGCAAAGACAGGGCTTGAGCTGGGTGGAAGCCAAAAGGCCTCTGACCCTCTAGGGTCAGAGCTGGGCAGGAGGCTGCCAGCACCCAACAAAGCTGATACACCCACACTGAAATAAATGGATGACAAACAAGGATAAGAAAATTTAATAAACAAGCTAACAAACATCCACGTAGGGGTGGAGACACTGTAGAGAAAAGATAAACAAAGATGAGAAGTGCCTAGTGGGGGGCTTGGAATGTCAGACCCCAGAAAGTCTGACTTAACGTAGGCCAAAGGAAAACTGGTAGGGACACAGGAAGATAGCTCAGCAGAAGGGCAAGACAGCCTGCATAAATGGGGAGAAAATTGGCGTCAAGGCAGGTTGCTGGGGCGTAAGGCTGATGCCAATGGAGGGTGGGGGCTTTCTTTGGAGGACTACCTCAGGGGCTCCCCAAGAAGGAGTGGCTGGCATCATTGGGCATCTTCAGGCCTCTAAGTGAAGGCAGGGAGTACGGGCACACCCAGCAGGCTGCTAGGGTGGAAACCTGGGGGGTTTAGCTAAATTGCTGACTGACTTAATGTGCGAGCTTCTGAGGCATGGGGTTGGGAAGGTGCAGAGGTGGGAGATACTCCCAAGGTCTGCAACTTGGGCAGCTAGCTTAGACGCAAGCTGTGCCCAAGAGCCAGCCTAGGACAGACAAGCAGAGGCTGGGGCAGGAAGGACGGGACGACAACAAAAAGCAAAAAGTAATAAAGGTACTTATAAACCTTGGGGTAAAAACCTTGGATCAAAGTGAGTGGGGAACTGCAGTGCAGTTGCAAGAAAAAAAGAAGATAGGCCTGTGAATAATACATTTGGCTTTTATTTAAAGCCTTTCTTCCTAAGACCTCTAAAGCTTTTCCATCATCTTACTTAATCTTCAAACATTGCATGATGATGATGATAATGCTGACATTTTTTTAGTGTCTGCTATGTGCCAGGCAGTGGGCTAAGTGCTTCACATGTTTAATTTAATCCTCACAACCAAACTGATGGTTATTGTGATATTCCAGTTTTTATAGATGAGGACACTGAGATTCAGAGAGGTTAAGCAGGTTTCCCAAGGTCACACAGCTAGTAGGTAGCAGAACCAGGCCTGGAATCCTAGATGGTCTGACCCAAAAGCCTGTGGATTTTTTTTTAATAGCTTTTTAAAAAATTGGGGGGTGGGGAGGAGTAATTAGGTTTATTTATTCATTTATTTTTTAATGGAAGTACTGGGGATTGAACCCAGGACCTTGTACTTGCTAACCAAACATTCTCACACTGAGCTATATCCTCCCCAACAGAAGCCTGTAGATTTAACCATTTTAATACATGGGGAAACTAAGGCAGTGAGGAGGTCACTTGCCCAAGTCAGTATAGTGGAGTCAGGCCCAGAGGCCAGATTTTCTGGCCCCTATCCCAGGAGTCTTTCAGAAGGCCACACTGTCCCTCTCTCTGTCAATTAACTGTTCCCAAGCCCAAGAAGTACGAGCCCTCCAATGGGCTCCCTGGTGTCTAATTAAATTAAAATGAAAAAAACAAAGTAGGTGTTTGTTACAAACTTAAAAATCAGAGGAAGAAAAGAAGGCTTTGAGGAACCAACTAAAAAAAGTATAAAGAACTGGAAGCGATAAGAACATAAAAGATGAGAAGTCACAATGTCCTTGCCGGCCTGAGGAGTCAGTAAGTAGTAGCCCAATTAAGTCCAAGAAAGGAACATTGAGAGGGGAGAGAGAATACACTGGAGATGTTTTAGGAGCCTGTGCAACTGAACCTCCCCGTACTAGCCTAGCCAAGCACCTCATTCTTTCAGGGCCGCCCGCAGGGCAGCAGTTGGGGTGGGGAGGGGTTGAGTGCCAGCAGGAGGCCAGTGGTTTGAACCCAGTTCTCACTCTACCACATGGTAGCTGGCTTTTTAACCTTGTCACATTTCTTAGCCTCTCTGTGCTTCACGTTCCTTATCTGTAAAATGGGATCCTTGAACCTGTATCGTTTTTCTGAGGATTAGCATTGATAACGTATGAAGCACTTTCAACAGCGCCTGGCACATAGTACTTATCCCACATATGTTAGGAATTACTACTACTACTTATACTGAGAGGCAAACAGCAGGGGACTTTAAAAGATGGTATTTTGCAGGAAGGGCTGAAGTGTGGAAGAGACGGATGTTTTCAGAAAAGGATGAGTGATTATATGAGGCTGGAAGCTGGGGTGCCTGGCAGCATCTGAGGCTGGGAAGACAGCCTGGAGTGGGCTTAGGAAGTGTCTTATGGGCCATGCTGGGGAGTCTGGGGTCTAACTCAAGTTTGGGAAAGCTCTTAGGATGGCAGAGCCAAGTTGGAGGAAAGTAGGGCAGGAAGCAGAGCCCAGTAGGAGGTTGTGGCCCCTCCTGGTGAGGATTGTGAGGGAGTTGGGGAGAATGGCCAGGATGTTCAGAAAGTAGATCAGTAAGGTTTAATGGGACAAGTGGTTTGCAAACCTAAAAGGCTTATAATCTGCCAGAAGCTCACTCTGATCAGGATTGTGAAGAACAGCAAATCCAGGGGAACTATTTAGTAGAATCCTTGGGAGAAGATGAGAGGGATTATTAAACCAGAAGAAGGCAAGGCCAAGGGATTAGTGAAACAGGAACTCTTAAAACAACAGCATGTTAACTTGTAGTACATAGGATTCCAGTCAGATATGAGGAGGAGCTCGCTAACCACATGACAGTTATGACATAGGTAGCAAAGGAGCACAGAAAAGCTTATTCTAAAACTGAACTTCAAGCTCCTTTTATAAGTACTGTCATGCCACAGATGAAGAAAGTTAAGAAAGTTCTGGAAGTCCTTTAGTAAAGGGTTTAGCAACTGTATAAGAAATCATTTCTAAAGTGCTAAGATGATTACAATGAGTTCTTAGTAACTGGTACTCAAGAAGCTGGGTTATTAATGCCCATTTTGATTCAAACATTAAGCCAAAAGGTTTACAACTAAACTCAAAACAGTGTGATAAATGATAGGCCAAAAATTCCAGGAACTGCTGAGTCAGTAGAGTGCTTTTCAAGACATCTGGCCCAAGAAAATCTACTTAGAGCACAAGGGGAACTGGCTGGTAGTTTCTGAACCCTTGGTGATTACATCTGAAAGCTTGGAGGAGGGCCCAAAGCAAGAAAAACATGGGGGGATGGGGGCAACTGTTATCCCCCTGGACTGCAAGGTATATGTCAAAAGGACCTTGAGTGCTACATAGGCCCCAGAAAAAGCAAACTGTATGAGAGATGCAGAGTGCTGCAGGCCAAGACTGGGATGTCAAAGCGTTCAAAGCCAGGGTAAAGGGGTTCCAAATGGGAAACGTGTGTCAGCCACTGAGGTGGGCTAGAGGATTCAGGGCCAGTACCTCTAAGCGGTTGCGGGGTGTGTGGAACCTCCGTCCCGGGTATCTCCATGACTAATCGGACATCTGCACAGGACAACTGGGGCTGTGCTTCCTCCTTCTATAGTGTGATGACAAGTGACCTGGGCTGCAAGACCACTTCTTACCAATGACCCTGAGCGGTCACTTCAGCACTCAGCCTCATGGTGCCTCTCCCGTAGAATCGGTATCATACTTACTGCTCAGGATACTACTGAAATTAAATGCTAAAGTAAGAAAGACCTAAGACCTAACCCAGTGCCTGGCCAGTCATTAGATGCTGGATTTGAACAGTCATTCTTTCCTCTGTCCTTTCTAACGTGGGATGAGGATTGCTCCATCAACATAAGCAACATAAACATTCCCAGTATCGAGTTTCTGAGGCCTGGTTACAGAAACACTCTCATTATTCCTCTTTTTCCTCCAGTGGGCCTGGCCCCTTCCCCTCACCATCCATGGCACCCCTCCTACTCCCTACCACCACCTTCCTGGGTCCCTCTGGCCTGTAATTTAGAGCTGTCCCCTCACACATCAAGTCCAATGTGTTTTCTCTCCACCCCACAGACGCACACCATCTTCTCACTGCTGGGAGTGGACCACGCTTATGTCACCAGTATTGGCAGACTCATTGGAATCGTCACCCTAAAGGAGGTGAGATGATAGTGGCCATCAAAGCCACTTCCACATCCAAAAAGGCATGGAGGCATATGTCCTGCTCACCTGGGGAAGTGCTGGGGAGGAGTCTGAGCAGGGAGCTCCAAGTCCACACATCTGACCCTCTCATCTTTCCAGCTCCGGAAGGCTATCGAGGGTTCTGTCACAGCACAGGGTGTGAAAGTCCGGCCACCCCTTGCCAGCTTCCGTGACAGTGCCACCAGCAGCAGCGACACAGAGACCACTGAAGTGCATGCACTCTGGGGACCCCGCTCCCGCCATGGCCTCCCCCGGGAGGGCAGCCCTTCTGACAGCGACGATAAGTGCCAGTGATCCCCTGGGAGGGCAGCCCGGATCCTACACCTCTCCTGTTCCTCCTGCCTTGGGAAAGTGGGAGCACCAGCCCCGCTTCCAGACGTGGGGTGCTAGCTTCTCCTGGCTCATCCTACCTAGAATCTGACCCAGTGCCCACCTGCAGCAAGTGTCCCAAGGGCAGGAAGATCAGCACTGCCCAGCAGGATGGGGAAAGGGTCACGTGACCCCTGCTCCCCCTTTGAGGGGGAAGGGGTAGAACTAAGATGGGTTTATACTGGAACCTCCAATGACCAGATGTATATAGAGATTTACAAAGATTTTTATATTAATTTAATAAAACAAATTCTTAAATAGAACAAAATAAACACCTAATGAGCCACTTATATATAGAATGCCTGTGCCCATCAGCTCTGTTCTTACCTTGGGCCCTCTCACTTGCCAAAGCCGACAAGGCTCCAAATTCAGCAGCCACCCACACCCACCATGGCTGTAACACTCCAGAGCCCGCAGTCCATGGAATGCAGGATCTGCAGAGGCCATCACCATTTGCTCATCAATACCCTGGCTGGGGCAGAGGCCCCTAGAAAGGTAGTTTTGTCCTTTCATTCAGCCAAGAAAGGCACTACCTTCTCTCCTCCCTGAGGAGAGACACTCCTCAGGACTGTCCCTCGTTGGCACAACTCCTGCAGACAACTGCCCGGCCACTGTGTGGCCCCCTTGTGGCCCTCTCCAGAAGAACATCCAAATCTCCACTCTGGCAACCAGAGCCATCCCTTCTTCCAACACCACCACCCGAAAGAGAGCTCTGAGTGAATGGGGCAGCCTGCTGGCTGTGAGGCCCCAGGACCCTGCCCACAAGGGGCTGGGAAAGGGCCCAGACCCCATCACAGGGGCCAGGAAAAGGACCAAGAGAGTACAGGCTTTCATCATTCCAGTGCCTCCCAGAGAAGATTCCACTGAAAGAACAGACCATACCCCTCTTTAGGAAAAAGAAGATTTAGAGACGATGGAGAGGTGAAGCACAGCACGAGCCCAGGTGGGCAAGGGGCCCTCGAGGGGCGGCTTAATCTGTCCGCTCCTGGAGGGTCAGAGCCGGCCCCCCTAGAGGGGATGATTCTGTCAAGCACTGCACATGGACTCGGAGGTGAGGAGAGAAGCAGAGAAGAGAGGCAGGGGGACGGGGCAGGGGAGGCCAGGCTCCCTCCCGCTCTACCCCACAAAGCCCAGTCACAACCGCCCCCTTAGGGGTTCACATCATCTGAGGAGAAAATGTGTACGTGGTGTTTTTGATTTAAGAACATGAACATCACTGTCTGCCACAGCTGTAGCCATGCCCCAGGGGCCCCGGGCAACCCCCGGCAAACCCCAGGAGTGGGGGCAGGACATGCGCCCCCAGCCTGGCCCCTGCCTCCTCTGGAACACTTTCATGCAAAACACACAACGGAGTGAGTGCTCCCAGGAGCCCTCCAGGCTTTGAAGCTCTGCTGGAAGCCTCACCCGAGCTGGGGCACGGAGGCTCTGTCCCCAGCAGCAGCCAGGGGACACATGCCACCACTGGGCATGATTTGGGTCACTGTTCCTCTGGCTCCACCTCTTCCTCGTCTAAGGATACCACCCCAGAAGAAGCTACATCAGAGGCTTGCTGCTGCCATTCCCAGCTGCCTGCTGGTGGCGGGCAGAGCGGCTGGCAGTCCTTGCAGGAGGCTGGCTCCTCCTCGGTGGCAGGGGAAAGGCAGGACTCTGTGAGGGGCGAGCTGTAGAGAGAGTCCTGGGCCTCCAATGGGCCCAGGCTGCGGAAGGCACTTTCCCGGCTGGGGGGCAGTTTGGCGAGGAGCAGCTCGTCGCCCAGCAGCTGGGAAGCCAGGCGGGCCGGGGAGCCCAGCAACCCGTCCTCCAGGCTGCACAGACTAGAGCACAGGGTCTCTGGGGACACGGTCTGCGAGCAGTCGCTCTCAGGCTCCACAGAGCCCTGGCGCAGAGGCCGGGAGAATCGGTGGCCGGTGAAGAGGTCCTGGAGGTGAGGCCCCAGGGGCAGCTGCCCAGCCATATCTGCAGAGGGAGAGGAAGGAGACAGACCTGCTAGCCCCATGTCAACTGGCCAGCCCGAAGGCCACGTCCCCCAGACTCCACCCTCATGGGAGCTAGATAACTTGGAGCAAGTCACTTAACCTCTTGGTGCCTTAGATTCCTTAATGGTGAATTGAGAGTTCTAACCTTATGGGGCTGTTGAGAGAGTAACAGAGTGGTACACAGTAAGAAAGCAATGAATACAGGGATACCATACATGGTTGTGCAGGTTGCTCACTGCACAAGGGGAACCTGTCCAAGACAGTGAGTGAAGGCTGAGATTCAGCCCTCACTCTCTTCACCAAGTAGCATGCCCTGGCATGGGGCTGTGCCTGCCCAAAAAAGGGGTGCCTTTTTCTAATTTGCACAAAGGTTCCACGTGGGCTAGTAGTGGCCTTGGATAAATATTAGTTATTATCATTATCCTGGGGGTCAAAGCAAGCCTGGAACTCAAACAAAAACACTTGTGGTTCATGGCTCCATCTTGGCCTCAAGCATCCAAATCAGTCCCCTCTAGACCACAGCAGCAGTCACCAGTCTGTTCTAATGTATTGCCCACCCTGGAGAACTTGTTAATTAGCTTGAGGGGTGGGGGTGGGTGGAGGCAATCTTCAAAGGCAAAGAGGTCACGGGGGGATGGTGGCCTGTGAGGCTTGAGCCCAGAAGCTATAGAGAAAGTCAGCCATGTGGTTGAGAGAATGGAAGATGAAAGGATGGCCTTTGCACAGCTGCATGGACCCCGCAGGGTCCCCTCTGCAAGCACTGGCCTTGGGAAAGGCCCACAGGCAGGTCTCGGCTGGAAGGCAAGGATGCTGAGCTGGAGCCAGCAGGCCTGTGGGCGGTCCAGGCCCAGCAAGCCTTCCTGTTTGTCTGGGGCCCCAGCCCCAGGAGGAGCTGTGCTGCCACAGCCAGCCAGGAGGCTGCCTTAAGAGAGAAAGGCAAGGCACTGCAGACCCTCCCAGAGATCAGCTGCACAGAAGATGTCAGTGAGGTCTCTGGGCCTTTTTTCTCTTAAGGACTGCAAGGTTCAACTTCCCAGACCGGCAGAGGAGGCTTAGCACCTATGGAAAAGGAACCACTCCATTTCCAATTGCTGACTGCCCACCCACAAGCGTGGACAGCCTCCTTCCTCTGGAATGTCGAGAGGTACCTGGATGGAGTCTGTCCCTCCCCTTCCTCCTTCCACAGGCTGAGGACATTCTGGAACTCCCCTTCCAAAACAAAGGCTGAGCTCTGAATCACAAAGCTTATCAGGCAATTCCACCCCAGCTGGCAGCACTCACATGGGATGTCCCCTCACCTGAGTCAGTTCCCCCAGCAAAGTCCTCATCATAGGATTCATCCGTGGAGTCCTCACCATCCACTGAAGACCATGCCCGAAGCTTGGCTTCTGCAATGGCAAATTGCTCAGCCACTCCTGTCAGGAAGAACACAGAATTCATTTAGCAGAGAAAAGCTGAGGCTTGGGCACACGAGAGGGGAGCCACTGGAGTGTGGAAAGACTCCAACCCCCACATCAGGCCCAAGGAGATGAGAGCGAGCATCCCTATGACAAACGTGTGGCTGACCCCCTTGCTGTACCCACCTGCTGCAAAGCGAGCCTCTTGTTCACCCTCGCTGAGGTCTGAATAGGAGGAAAAGGCTGATTCCAGGGCAGCAGGCGAGTCACTTGGCTTGCTCCAGCCCTTCCACTCAATGAGGTGAGCCACTCGGCCCTGGGCCATGGCGGTGGGCTTGGTCACGTGGTCCTTCACCACCTGGGAAATACCTGGAGATGGGGCAGAGTGAGAAAACCTGGTAAGGGCACAGGCCAGGGAGCATCTGGGAGGGAAGTGGAAGGGTGGTGGTAATTAGGGTCCACATATGCCTCTGGGTGGGCAGAGAGGGCTGGCATTCAGCTGAGAAAGGGAGGAAAAGGAAGATCCCAGCAAGAGCTCACAGGATACAGTCCCCAAGGGCATGGGCAAAAGGGAGAAGAAAGGACCAAACGGTCAAAAGCATGGGAGAAGATGCATACCATGCAGGGAGGATCTGGCCAGTGCAGCAATCTCCTGGATAGTTAGGGCTCTCCGGGACTTGGGCAGCATCGCGACTGTGTCTCCAACATTCACCTTGGGTGATAGCATTAGAGGGTGAGTGCCCCTCTGACAGCAGCGACTCCCATACGTCTATACTCTACCCAAGGCGTCAAGGGGATATGGAAGCTGGGAAGAGATGTCAGGGTATTTCAAATGTCCCAGTGGCTGCTGGGATATGTAAGAGACTAAGAAGCCAGGATGAGCAAACTGTCCTCCTGGGGAGCAATGGAGACTCGGGCAGGCCCAAAGGAGCAGAACAGCAGCTAATTCTCCACCTTCCCTGCCTACAGAGGGGAAGGAAGCAGGTTGGCAAGTAAATGGAGTGGGAAGATAGAAGAGGAAGGGACAGGGTATGCCATCAGGTTCCTCCGGGTCCTTTCCCCCTTGCCCCTCTCCTCCTCTCAGTTTTCAGACCCACATTCTAGCTGTTTCTGGAGCCTACAGGGCCACAAACTCAGCATGACCAAAACCAAACCCAATACTTTGTTCCCATTTCCAGCCCTGCTTCCGGACTTCCTTACTTTGCATCACCCCACCATTCTCCCCTGCAGCCTGGCTCCAAGCCTCAGCATCACCATCAGCTCTCCCGTAAGCCTTGCTGACCCATATCTGTTGTTAAAACCTAATGATTCCATCTCCAAACTTCCTCTTACACAACCCTCATCCTTTCTACTCCCGCTGCCACTGCTCCTCCTTAAGGGTGAGCCCTCAGTGCCCTTTGCCCCGATTAGTACAAGTGGTGGTCCCCCTAAGTTCTAACTCCATGCTATTTTCTCAGCCCAGAATGTTGTGTAAATGTACCCCCGCCACATCTCCCATGACTGTCTGGCTCTTTGTTTCTCATCTTTTGGGTCTTGGCTGAACCACTCCCTCAGAGAGCCTTCCTGGCCACCATACCAGTTGTCCATCCTCCCTCTGTAGTCTGTAACAAGTCAGCATCCTCCATCAACATAACCCCGTGTGTATCATCATGGTCTATTTCGTATGTTTCCTTATTACTTGTTGGTCTTAGCTCTTGTAGCTTGTAACTCTTTGAGAAATTCAGTGTCTCTCAGTCACTGCTGCACCCTTGAGTTTAGCACAGTGCCTGGTACAGAGTAATCTCTCAAAACACATAAGCTGAATGAATGAGGCAAAATACAAATGTGAACAAATTATCTTCCTGGAGTGCAACTGGTCACAACATGTCCCTATTTAAAATCTTTTCTGGGCTCCTCCAACGCCCAATGAAGTGTAAGCTTCACAGTCAGGCACTGAAGGAACTCTGTGAGGCCCTAGCCTCCTTCCAGGCCTGCTTGGAATCCACCCCTGATCTCCTCTGCCCAGGAAAAGCCCACTTCTCCACCTTCCCGGTAAGGAAGCAGCCCTCCTGCCTCCAGGCAAAGGAAAGCAACTTTCCCCTGGGCCAAGAATGCTATCCTTGCCTGACAAAATGTTCTCTTATCATTTAAGGCCTGACTCTCAAGTGCCACCTCCTATTATGTTTCAGTTCACAGTTTGTCTTCTTCAACGCCCCCACCCCCATCACAGCATTGCCTTTGCATCTTTCTTGAGGGATCTTGGGATGGTAAGGCCTAAATCTGATTCACCTGGGTTCCTTCCTCCACCCTGCACCTGATTCAGTGCCCCTTGGCAGCCCCGGCAAACGCCTCCCTCAATGAATGAATGAAATCAGAGGCACATGCCCCCTCCCCAGCATTTCCTAGCTCTCCTCCATTACGTTCCACCCCTCAGAAAGGGACTCCGCCTACCCCTTGACCTCAAGCCCACCCTCTGTCCCTCCCCTTCAGTACCTGGCTGACAGGGCCCCCAGGGTGGCTCCGGCAGCTTCTGGCCAGCCCTGGGGGGAGGAGCACCTGCTGGGTGTTTCCTGGTTCGCTCTCCCTCCCTCCCATCACTCCCCCCAGCCACCGCCATCCGTGTCAGCGCTCCGCGCAGCTGCGGCCCAGGCCCAGAGAAAAGGTGTATGTCACCCTGGCAACCCATCACCATGCAACAGGGTCTCCCGGGATACGGCCCGGCCCGGGATGCGCTGACGTCAGGGCCCAAGGCGCAAGCAAGCCCGCCCGCTGGCACCGCGCCGAGCAGAGCAGACCGGCGCGGGGGCGGTCTTGCAGCCCTGCCGGCCGGATAGCGCCTCCGCTCGCAGGAAAAGAGAGCCAGAAGCAGGCTGGCGAGGCGGGGGTGGAGTACACAGAATCTCTTGGTGTGGATGCGGATGGTGGGGGGCGCCCCCTTCCCTCTACCAACACGAAGGGCCCAGCACCTCTGGCAAGTCCTGGCTGTCCACGGAGGAAGGGCGGGAGGACCGGCTCCAGCCTCGGAGGGTCCGAGCAGATCCCAAGGAAGATAGAGAGAGGCCCCGAGGAAGTTCGATCCACTCCACAGCCCACGAGGGGTCCGAGGCCACTGAGGAGTGGGGGAAAGGCTGTTCAGTTTGGCTCCCATTTCTGCCAAGATTCCCCCACCTCTTAGACTATAAGCAACCACCTGGTGCTCTCCACAAGTCTGAAAGCCCCTGTCCCACAGCCCTGACCTTCAGACCCCTGGGGCCATTTTGTGGCAGACATTGGCCACTGTCCTCCTCAAGATATATTCTGCCACCAAAACCCAAAGTATGAAACCTAAACTTTGAAAAATTCTGAATCTTCTCGGGTTTCTCAGCCTACCCATTCCTCTTGGAGCACACCACATTCTTCCACCACCATCACCACCCTCTCCCCACCACCACCTTAGACCTTTTGCAGGCTTGCTGCCTTCCTTCTCTTGGTTCTTTCCTCTTGCCAGCCTCAGCTTGTATGCAGTTCTTTACTCTTTTCTGACAAATCTGTGATTTTTTCCACCTTTCACCCCAGTCCCCTAAAGCTTTCTTCTGATGCCTTGTCTGGTCCTATTTCAGCCTGGTTCTCAGTATCTAAGCCAGAGTAATTTTCCTCTTGCCACCAGAGCACCCTACCCCTCAGCTTCCCATCACCTCCCAAATCACATCTATGTCCCTGATCTCACCTCTGCGACTTGTCTGACAAGTCCATCGTCCTCCAGGCCCTTCACGCTGCCACAGAAACATTTTGCCCAGCACAGAAATCATAGGCATGCTGGCTGTGTTGATGCAGAGAACTAAAAGCCCAGAACCGCTCCAGGCTCAGCTCCCAGTTCTATTCCTATTTTGGCTCCGGATGTGGAGTCAGTCCCCTCCCCACTTGGAACCTGTGCCTAGTCACATAAGGAGAACACTTCTGCCTCATGGCTTTGAGGAGGTGGGAGCTGAGGCCCATCCCTTAGACAGTGCCAAGAGGCAATGTACATCACAACTGACCTTTAGCTGGAGCAGCCGTCTCTGTCCCTGAGCCTCAGCCAGCTGGTGGTCCCCAGAAATGCTACCAACCAAAAGGAAGACACAAGGTTACAGGCCATTCCTGGCCCCCAGCTGGTACCTAATCAGGGCTCTTGAGATGAGTCATTAGGTCAGCCAAGACTTCCTGAATTCCAAGCTTTAGCAGGGCCAGAGGGATCAGAGCAGCCTGCTGCTTCTCAGCTTTGAAAAATCATGAGATTAATTTAAGACTACAAATCCCAGAATTCCTCATGGGAGCCTAAGTAAAGCACAAATCTCAGCTAGTCTTAGCTCAAAAGAACCTCAAGTACCAACTACACTAATGCCTGTGTGACTGACCGCCTGCCCTGAAGACCCAGAACCCATTCCAAACCCAGCCCTCAACGTCACAAGTTCCCACTGGACTTAGGCTTGGAGAAATCCATGACAGTGGAGTAAAGTAGGCTGACCCACCTCAGACATCTAAGGCAAGGCCCCAGTGTGCACCACCATCCATGGGAACTAAGGCGCAACTAAGGGTCAGCAATTGTGGGAAGGATGTCCTGAGGGCCTCCCTTTGGGCTCCTGTTTCCCTCCACAGGGTAGGGTGATTTTTGTTTTTGTTAGTAGTAGGAGAAGGTAACTAAAACAGTTGTACAAGGTGAGAAGTGACCAAGTGCTCACAGGTGCCCCAAATGGGGCTGCGGGTTCCCTTCATCAACCAGGAGACTCTAAAGGGGATGGTAAATTTAGTCAAAAATTCTGTAGTAGTAGGGTGCTTGGCCAGCGTTCGCAGGCTACCTCCTGAAGAGGGTTGGGACACAGCTAGGAGAAGCAAGTTACCAGCACAGGGCCACTCCCAGGACAGTGAGAGGAGAGGTGTAAGCTGAAGGGGGTGATTGTGAGTGGGGCAGTCGCCACGGGCTGAAGAGGGTTGCCCACCCCTCCCTAGGCTGTGCGCCTCCTGCCACCCTCAGCGGTGGGAATGCAGGCAGAAAGACCACGAGTCCACCCTGCAAAGCCCAGAGGCAGGCAGGCAGGCAGGCAAGCAGGCCTTGGGAGCGAGGCCGAGTCGGTTTAGCCCCCTCCCCGCTCAGGCCTGCTCCTTTCTCTTGCCGGGCCCGCCTCCCCAGTGCAGGCTCCTCCCTCCTCCAACACCGGCCCCCTCCTCAAGGCCCCCACCCCCCCGCGGGGCGCGCACAGAGCAGCCGCAGCCAGACTCCCCAGCCAGGGCCCGGCCTCCGCCTCTTACCCTGACCTGACGGGCTCCGAGAGCCGATACAGCCCATGGCCGGGCACCCAGGCACGCTAGCCTGCGCTCGGGGCCTGGGCCATCGCCTTGCAGAGGGTAGGGCCGCGGCCGCCACCGGGGAGGGGGTGGGAGCCGCGCATCCACCACCGCTCCCGGGAGAGGGAACCGGGCCGGTGACGTAAGCGTGGGGGTGTGGCCACTCGCGTCACCACCCAAACAAGGGTGGGGCGAAGCCGACGTCACTGCCACGCAGGGGCAGCCTGGAGCCGAGTCCAAGGAAAATGCTCGTCCTCTGCTCCCAAAGCTGACAGCGGAGCGACCCAAAGAGACGGGGGTACCAATGGGACAAGGCAAGGACTAAGACTCACTGGGTCTCGGGGTGTGGGGATGCACGTAAGACCTCGGTGCATCTGGCCCCCTTATTTCAGATGAGAGATATCGAAGCCATAGAAGGCTTCAGCTATGAACAGCCTGAAATCCAGGGCCTTCACACGCAGGCGTCTGCGTCACATTCCGGTAGAAGACAGACCAGCAAGTGTGTTCCATGAAGCCCCCCCCAAGTTATGTCTCCAATCTCCCCTCCTTATTATCAACAGGGAACCCCACCATGTCCACCTTGAGGGCCCAACCCCCTAGGAAAGCGACTCCCCAGCCCCGCAATCATGGACAGGGAAGAGGCAAGAGGGGTGCCAAGTTACCACCGGGAAGTGCTACAGTGCCAGCTCTGGAAAGGAGGCAGCCCACCTATCCAGACTCCGTCTCCAGAGGGAGCAGGCCATAAAGCAGAGAGGCAGTGAGCTTAATTGAATTCATGTTTAATAATTACAGGCACCGTGCCCCCCCTTCCCCCTGCCCAGGCAGCAGCAGGGGTGGTGCAGGGGCTGGGGCATATGCCCCCAGCAGCGAGGACGGCAGTCCCAAGAGTGATTTTCAGAAAATAAAAAAAGACCCCAGGGGCAGGCAGTGGTGCCCCCCCCAAGACACACCAAATTTCAAGACTTTATATATAATATATCTCTGTGCCCCAGGGGGAGAAGGACACCTGGCAGCATCCTGGAGGGGGGCCCCAGGCAGCCCCAAGCCATCCTGCCTCTTCAGCCACTTTATTAGCTCAGACACATCGCACTACAGGCACCCACTGCCACCGCCGCTGCTGCCGCCCCACTGCAGTCCGGGCGGCTGGCTTGGCCATCCGAGTGTCCATGGGGCTCCAAGTCCCCGGCCCCACCCACCCTCAGTTGTGGTCAGACTCCTCCTCCTCTGCCTCACGAAGCCATTTGAAGAAAGCTGTGACAGATTTAAGGGCCACGCCCTTGCCCTGCTGCTCAGCTGGGTCCTTGCTACTCTCCCAGCTATAGAAGGCATCCTCCTTCACCACATCCTCGTCATACAGCGCATCAAAGAACATCCGAAGCAGGTCTGCAAGCAGGCAGGATAACAGTTAGAGACATACTCCTCCCACCCACATCCCACCTCCCCAGGGATCCCTCCCCTAAGCTCCACCGTTGAAACAGTCCTGACCCACCGTGTTCACATGTGTCTGGTCATTCCAGAGCGACTAGGTCTCTGACAGGATGCTAATCTCATAATCTAAGAGACTGGTGTGGAAGAATGAGTCACTTGGCCAACACTTAAAACACCTACCCAGCCTCACCCCAGCAGTTTCAAATTTCTCCACTCAAGTTATATATAAATGGAGAAAATTATGCAGAATTTGTACTCCTGAATTTGGGGAATCACAGAAGTCTGAGGTGTATCTCTCACAAAATTCAAGGGTATAACCTGGAACTTCATTCACTGGCCCCCATTACAGATCCTGACAAACTTTTTTTTCTTTTCAAGACATGCCACCCAAAATGTGCTGCTGTGGTATACCTGACAAATCCTTGATCTCAACCTCCTCTTACTTTTCACACATCTTCTGAATACACACACCCTTCTCTGGCCCTGATACTTCCACACAAGCTATATAGCCTTTGCCAGGAACATCCTTTCTCTTGTCACATTTTATCACCTTCCTAGTGCAATTCATTTAGGCTCAACTCAAGCACCCTCTGCTCTGACCCCCTTTCTCCTGCACCCCTAGCTACTCGTCAGCCTTCCGAAGCACTTGGCCTATAGTCCCTGAACATAATCCATCCCATTCCCCACACTGCACTGGCAGTCTTTCCAAAGCAAACATTACATTCCTTAAAGCAAAGGAAGGCTGTGTAGTGAATACATTTCTTCTCAATAAAAGAACAGATCTAGGTCCAGGCCTGGGTGAAACGCAGACTGAGCTGCCTAAAACAAGCTGTAAGCCAGAATGTTCCTCAGGGCACACACACCCTCAAATCCACAACCACTGCCTGTGGACAGCTTCCCACCCCCATCGCACAGCAATAGCAGCAAAGCTTGTTCTCCAAATCCCATGCACACCCACCCTGGGGACCCTATACAATCAAATATCCTCTCTGCCCTGTATTTTCAAGCCCAACTTTCTCTCGTCTAAACACAAAAACATCTTCCTTTACAACCACTATCTCTTTACAGCCCAACAAAAGTGGTTTTTGTCTTTTTTTTTTATTTTTTTGCCTTTTGACAAGAGATTGATTGAATTCAAAGAGTTTGTCTACACTCGTTTTCATTTCTTTTATTCCTGGTTCCGTCAAATATTATTCTGTCCTTTCCAATCCAGATTCTTCCCTGTGTTCCACCAAATACTGTTTCTGCCAGGGTGGCTTCCATGTTTTCACACCCCAGAAGCCCTAATTTTCAGGCCTGCTCCTGTGGAACTCTCAAACAGCATCAAGTATTACTGACCACTTCCTTTTCCTAAAATTACTCTGCCTGTTGTTCAAAGGGTTCTGTCCTTTGGTCCCTACCTGTAGGATCTCTACCTCCCTAAGGTTCCATCCAGTGGGCAATCCTATACCCTCCTGTGACTTGCACGTATGTTAGCTGCCCTGTGCCAGCAACTCAAGAGATTGGCCTCCAGCCCTGACCTCTTCCTCTCTCCAAATGAATTCAGATACCCAGCTGTCTACCTGAGATCTGTGATCACCCCCACGCAGGGGACCGAAAACTCAGCATGACCAAACTCAACTTGATCTGGTGTTCCCTACTGCCAGGTGAATGGCACCCTAACATCTCACCTGCTAAAACCATCCTGGGAGTCATATATGACTTCCAATCTCTCATCACCCCCCCACCCCCGGCTAGAGTTATGTTTTGAATCTACCCACTTGTCTCCCATCTCCATTGCCACCAGTGAGGCTCAGCCACTACCAATATGCTCATGATCTGCTGATCCTGCCACATTCACACTCACCCTACTCCAAACCACTATTTCCACTAATGGCCAAGTATGATCTAAAAACTAAGAGAATGTGTAAAATCCTTACTTAAAATCCCACAAAGGCCTTTCCCTGTCCTTCAGCTAAAGCCTAAAACTCATCCCACAGCTTACACAGCCCTGTATGACCTGCCCACGTCCATCTCTCCACCCATCTTGCTGCACATGACTGGCTGCTGTGCTCTCCCACGCTGGCCTTTCAGCAGTTCTTTTACCTTGTGTCCTCTTTTCTACCACAGGGCCTTCTTTTACATACACAGTTCTTTCCTGTCAACTCTCCCCCTCCCCTTGTCGATTCCCACTCATTCTCTCTGACTAGGTATACTCCCCCAGAGAGCATCCTGCAGGACCCATCTTCCAACATCATCTGAACCCATGCCAACATGGGAATTATGTTTGACCTAATCAACTGCCAATATCCCAATGTCCTGGCACATACCTATTTGCTGAATACATAACCTCGGGCATGTTAACCTAAGCCTCAGTTTCCCAATAGGGAAAAGGGGGCAACATCATCTACCCTAAACAATAGTTGTGAGAATTGAGGCAAAGAAAAGCATCCCAGCCCTGTGCCAGGCAGAGGGAATACACGATACTTGGGAAATATTACCATTTATCACCTCTGCATTCCAGGCATCTAACAGTTGGCTAGGCACAAAATAATCAATCTTGAAGCCCAGATCTAACTCCTTCCACTTGTAGGTAAGGAAACAAGTGTTGCAGGGGAAAAACTGAACCATCGGGGTATTCTGCTCTCCAATGACCACTCACTTTTCTTGGCTTGAGACCATTTCCACGACTGCCCCCTATGCCTGGTAGCTTCTCCAACCCACCCCCACCCATGTGGCCTGGCTCTTACTGGGAGGCTGTTCTAAGGTCACTACAAGGGCCTGGAGGGCATAAAGCGCCTGCAACTCCTTCTGCTCATCACACAGGTATTTCTGTAGCAGTTTCGCTCGCGCTTTCAGCACCGCAACGTCCACTCGGAGAGGAGTCTCAACTACAGGGAGGAATACAGGGGTAAGTGGAATAATGCACCATCAACCTGGTTCAGAACCAGAGGTAAAAACCAAAACCTCCCACCCTCCACGTGTCTGTTGGGCCCACCCTTGCCCCACTAACTCCCCGGTGCCTCTTACAGATAATTGCGGAATAGCAGACGGTTGTCATGAGGGCTCGAACTAATGTGTTGGATGCTACCTGCTGCTCACTCAGGTTGGACTGTGCAGGAGAAAGAGAAACAAATGGCCCGTAAGTTCTGAATTGTGCCTGAATTCTTGCTGCCCCTACCCACACATCAAGAGCCACATCTCCTTTACCGTCTCCCCCAATATCCAGGAGAAATATACCTCTATCCAGTCAAACACCCGCTGGTTACTGCTGTTCTCCTTCAGCAGCTTCTCCAGCTGCCTGCTCAGCTCCTCGGAGGAGAGCAGCCTCTGGCCAGGGGATTCTGACTCCTCTCCCAAAGTGTACTCCAGCTTCTGCAAGCAAAAAGGCCCACAGTTAAGAGGTAAGTACCTCATGTGAGATGAGGGAAGAGGGAAGAGGCCAGCCCCAAATGCTAGAGTTAACCTAATTCCAGCCGCAAACCTGTGCAGTGATGAATGCACCAACATCCTGGCCTTCAGGAAGAAATTCCTTCCAGCTGAGTCCAGCCTCTCGCCACAGCATCCCCACCTTTTTGGGACCCTGAAAAACATAAGACCAACTTAGTAACTCTTTATCTCCAAGACTCTTAGCAGCTCCACAAATGTCATCTAATAAATACATACTAAAAACCCACTAAATGCCTGCTAGCAGCTCAGGATGCTATAGAGGTACTGAATAGGAACAGTCCGTCCATGCCTATGGTCTAGT